ATGTTAAGAGCATTGTATTAAATTTTCAAGCTTTTCTACCCAACAAATAAATTTTTATCGATATTAATTAAAAAAAAACTAATAATTGCAAATACCTATGAATAGTTCAACTTAAGTCGAAAATTTTTGAAAATTGCATGTTAGATAGAATATACTTATAATTATAATCTATTAACATACATTTAACATTAATAATTATTATCTACGGACTACTATACTACACTAAATTATATGTCAAGGCTTTGCTATCATAACTGAAAAAAAAATAATGTCATTTAAATAATTTTCCTTACACAATTAGTTTTAACTTTTAATCCATTTGAACTCTTTATCTGTTATTTAATTGATAATTTTATCTGTTTTATCACTAACAAAACAATTATGTTCATCCAAATATACCATTTTGTGTTGAGTAAAATATTCCTTTTTCATAATGCATAAAATCAAATAATTTTTGGTTTACTCAACACTTATTTATACCTTCTTGGTTTTTTTATAAATTAATACTTAAATAATCATGAAACTGTTTAAAATAAAAGACGAAATCATCTTTACAGCGTTTAATTATATAAAAAAATACTTAAAAAATAATTTTACATTAGTTATCACCAAAATAAATTGAATAAGAACAATTTGTCAAATGTTGACAATTCATTATTAAAAAAAAAAAAAAAACAAATATGAACTGAACAAACAATACTAATACCTACGATGGATTTCCAAATTCCTAATTTTGCATGAAGCATTTAAATATGCCACTAAAAAATAAATAATGAGCACTGAATTTTGAGAAAGGGTGCTCTATTTTTTAAATAATTAATCTGTAAAATATTTTTACATTTATAATTTATATAGGTTTTTGAATTTATTAAATAGCCCTATATATTTCATATATAAAAAAAAAATATTATATTTTTTATAATTTGATCAGATTATCAATGTTCACAAAGTATGATAGGCACCACCGCGTCCCAAGTAGAAGAATCGGTATCCAACAAATCCAACTGCTACAATACCAAAAGCTAGGACCATGCCACCTAAAATAAATGAATTACAACATGTAATTAAAGATTAATTTTGTACTTTAGAAATATAAATTAATATCAATCATACCTAAGAAACTTGGGCCATCCCAACTTCTAGCAGGAGATGGTTCTGGAGTAGGAGGAATAGTAGTCGTAACATTTGGACTCAGCGTTGTTGTTGTAACATCTGGACTTTGTGTAGATGTTGTCACATTTGAACTGGGTGTAGTAGTAGTTACATTTGGTGATGTAGTAGTTGACGATGGTTTTGGAGTTGTGGTTGATGCTGGAGTTGTGGTTGATGCTGGAGTTGTAGTTGGTAWTGGGGTTGTAGTTGGTTTTAAAGTAGTCGTTGTTGTGTTAGGCGTAAAAATAGTTGCATTATTTTCAGATAGAGATACTTCAGTTGGTTCTAAAAATATATATATAATTATTACAATAAACACTTAGTTACAAGTAAAAGATTTCTTATAGAGGTGCTTGTTTTATGGTTTTATCAATCTTAAAATAAATAGCATAACATCCGTTGCATAAAGAATTATAAAAATAAGTGGCATGCTACTAGATATTTTGTTCTACAAGGAAAACTGAGGAATCATATATGTTTTTATTATTGATTTGAGTTTGTATGGGTGTATGGCGATAAACAAAATATTACACAAAATCGATTAGAAAAAAAAATGGTTGTATCCAGCCCAAAAATATACATCTATATCTATGTATAAAGGTTAGGTAAAGAAGGTATTTCAAATCAATTATTTTAATAATTTGTTAAAAATAAATAATTAAAACGTTGATTATATATAGGGCAGAGGACTTGTAGCATTTGCATATTTTTTTTGCACAGTCACAAAAATAGCAGAGTGCGAAACAAATGCGTTTCATGCTACCACAAAATTAGTTTTGAAATTTTATTGTGCATATAAATGCATATTTTGCGTTTTTTGGTTTTTAGGGCATATTTTCCTTTTTTATATCGTTTTTATGGCATATTTTGCTTTTTTTTGGTTTTTAGGGCAAATTTTGCTTTTTTTTGGTTTTAGGGCAAATTTTTTCCATTTTTCTCCTAACCCAAATAATTCAAATAATTAAATGTAAGTTGTTAAATAAAGTTGTAAATAACATTTTATCATAAAAATAATAAGTACCAACAGAAAAATTCTTAATTTTTATTCAAAAATATCCACTTTAAAATGCATATTTTTTATACTTAAGTGCATATTTTTAATGCATATTTTGTATATTTAAATGCATATTTGGTGACTTTTTAGAGCTACAAGTCCTCTGCCCTAATTATATAATATTATTCAGACATATCTATTATCTATATATTTTAATATAATTCTTAAGATTCTTAAGAAGGAATGTGTGGTTGTGTAAAACCTCAAATATGGACAAATAGGAAATTTTTATACAAAACAAAAATGATAAGCAATTTAAGAGTGTGCAGTATCCGCATGTGTTGATTTGTCAAACGAGTGCGTAACATAGCAAATTTTACACTCAGCAGATCACGTTTAGCTCCATTAKTTTAAAATTAAGAGTGAATTGACCACTTATAAAAATTAAAGGTACATTATTATCAAGGCTTCTTATAGGCTTTTTATTATATTTTAATTTTAAAGGGAGTTGTGTATTTTAAAATTGCAAATTRTTTGTACCTAKATCTTAAAATACTCATACACACTTTAAAATTAAAATATAATAAAAAGCCTATGAAAAGCCCTCGATAATAATGTTACCTTTAATATTTATAAGTGGTCGATTCACTCTAAATTATAACTAAAGGACCTAAATGTAATCTGATGAGTGTAAAATATTCTAAGTTACACACTTGTAAAACAAAGGTATCATAATATGCGGTTGTAGCATCCTCTTAACTGAATTGATTCTTAAAAGTTAAAATAAACATGACTTGTATGTTATCACTCACTGCTGAGCTGTATACAATTTATCACCCATCCCCCAGGAYTAAATTTACGTCATTTATCTAATCTAAAATTTCGATATTTCCTGCAATATTTAAAACTGGCATTCAATTTTTACAACAAAAATGTATCAATGAAATAAAATTACAGATACTTATAAAATTGTCTTRTTTTTTATTGAGATATTAATTATATTATTAATTATGTTACTATTGGGTCCTCATAATCAAAAACTACTGTTTCTATCTTCAACAATGTGTTTAAACAATTATCATGATTTTCATTTCGAAAAAAATATTCAAATTCCCCGTTATATGTATAAGGGAACATTCAAGCCACATTTTTCATCGTAATTTAGAGAGCAATAAATGTTGTTATAATTTTTAAAAATTTACAAAATCTCTAACTTACCTAAATATTTAAACAACCAGATAAAATAATATAAATGTGCCTCCAAAGATTCCTTATACATGTTTTGGAAAAATATTTCGTCAAAATGCAAATTRACATAATAGTTGAGAGGTATAGTTAGAGTTCAGATTGAATGAAAAATAAACAATTTTTTGTGGTCACAAAATTGTTTTTTGATATGTGTGTGAGAGTGTATGCAAGATGCCTCTGTGCTACTACAATACGTCTATACAGGTTACTGCTACTGACAGTATCATTTACAACAAGACTTATTGCTGAATGTACAAGAAGTTCCCTATACAATATTCTTTAGAATTCAGTAGCAATGAGGCCCCTTAAATGTTAAGAATTTATAATTATTCTTTACTTTTGTTTAGAAGTTTTTAGATGGTATGTAAAAAATATTATCAGTGGTCAACCCYTTAGTAGGGTGATTAATTTTACATGGTGTGGTGGCAGCGCTGCAAAATGATTTAAATACTTAATTCATTAATTTAACAAAATMAAAAAATAAATAAAAGTTAACATGGCATATGGAATAAAAATTGTAACTCATAAATTAGTATAGCATATATTAATATGAAATTCACAGAACTTAAATAGACAATTTAATATTATCGAAATTAAAACAATATTTTAATTGATTTTATAAAGCTAATTCATTAATAATTTATAAAAATGAAAAATAAATCTTAGGCAACAGATGGTAGTCCAATTGAAACAAATTGTATTATCATTCGGAAAAGTAATTTAAAACATTTAAAGATCATATTATATTATAACAGATTTCTTTCCCATTTCATATAGGTCTACATATACAATTTTAACTATCATTGATAACACTAACATTATAACATTCATATTAAAAGCATCTTCAGTGAATGATACTGCCACCCCTCTTAGTCATTACACTATTGGTGCCTTCCTACCAAATTTTAGGTTCAATGGAGTCTCGTTGTAAGTACCACCAAACGCTGTGGCTTGTTTCCCTACTGATAACAATATTACAACAAACAATGTAAACTAATACTTCAGTGTCTTTTCACTAACACTTGAGAGTGACAACATAACAAATATTGAAACATTTAAAATAATCTAGAGTTGCTACGTAAGAAATGTGACTAACGCACGCCGCTGAGTGCCATCACTGTAGGTACCAGGTACTAAGGTACCATACTAATACTCCATAAATGATTAGTTATTCATTTTACATGTACACATAATTAGACAAAAATAACAATGATACTTTCTAACTAATATAAATATAAGCAACAACTGACCATTTATTAAGTAATATTCTACAGATAAGATATACCCTCGGATAACCTAACCTAACCTTATACCTACCTATCTTCCCTAGAGTCCCTTCCTCAAAGGATGCCAAAATTGTGATCTGATAATAATATTAAATGGACTGTGAAAATATGGTCACCAATTTAAAAAAAAACAAACTAAATTGACATCCCAGCATTCCTCACTACACTAATAACGTTTTCCATCTGACTGCACTATTGCACACTACATGCGAACACTGATACCCTAATCACAGTATTGTATAATTTTCCATACCACCAAAATTCACGGTATCGACCAGTATGCATTAGTGCAGTCAGATTTGGTCAGATGGAAAATGCTATAAAAATCTTTTTTTTATTTTTTTATTAAAGCCGCAACAACTAAGGTTATTGGCATATTGTCAGTGTTGGGTAAATTACTTTTAAAAAGTAATGAAATTACATTACTCGTTACTTCAAATATTTTTATTTAAATTACATTTGCGTTACCTAAAATTATTTTTATCACGTTACATTACTTTTTCATTAACAAAGTAGTGCGTTACAAATAACTTTACTTTTTTTTTTACCATATTCAATTCATATGATTCAATTATTATGTAAGTATATATTTTACGATCATAGACCTAGTGATAATATACCTATTATAGTATTATGTACAAAATAAATGTACGATCATTTCACCTACCTAGCTATATTGCTATATAGTCATAAGTCATAAATCATAATTAAATTTTATTCTATTTTTAAACCAAATTCTTTTCTTTCAGCTAATATAATGATAACATTTATTCCTGGAATGTTTAGTAATATTGTTAACTATTATCGGAATTAAAAATAAGTATAATTAATTTTTGATTTATCTGGGATATCTTATTGATATGTTTTTGTAATACATTCAAAATTATTATTTTAGTAATGTGGAAAATAATGCGTTAGTGCGTTACTTCATAAAAATTACTTTTCAAAAGTAATTTAGTTACAATTGCRTTATTTTAAGTATAGTGTAATGAATTTACAGCTGCGTTACAGTCATTTGTATTTCGCGTTACGTTACTACCCAACACTGCATATTGTACAATGTAAAAATTAAATTAGGTGCTAGATAACATTATGAATATTAAGTACAATGTAGATTATTTATAAAGGTATAACATTAAAATATAGAAGTACAGCATTGGAAGTGAGAGAAAGACTATAAGAATCTATAGTGATCCATTAGTATAACAAAAATCTAAGGCCCTCCTCACACGGGGATACTCAAAAGAAACTGCAATCTACTAGGAGACTAGGCGAATAGGCAACTGCGCATGTGTGTTTGAATGGCGTCGTTCAAACGRCGCTACTTAAGTCGCCGCGATTGATAAACTGACGCGACCAGTCAACTGGCAACTWGACATGTCGGTCTCCTCGCTACTTTGGTTGGTCGAGTTGCTTGGTAATTTTTATTTCATGTATAATAAAATATTATAACATGGATCAAAATTTTAATATTGAACAAATAGAAAAGTATCCCGAGCTATATAATTATACCTTAAAAAGCTACTCCAAAAGAAATATAAGGGAAAAAGCTTGGAGTGAAGTAGCCACAGAAGTTAARCTCACAGGTAAGGCCGAGAATATTCGRGTATTATCACAGTARTAATAATAATTGGTTCTAAGTACAATAAGTACATGGCTATAAAGAATTTATTATTTATAGTTATTAATTAATTATAATTTTGTTTATATATTTTTAATGAACTGTACTGTCAGGCGACACTATAGTTTAAAAAACTAGAAACAAAAATTTAGTATACTGTGTGTGAAGATAACCGGCAACTGTAGTTGTCTAGCCACCCAGTCTCCTAGTACAAAGGCAGTTGCAGTTTCTTTTGAGTATCCCCGTGTGAGGAGGGCCTAATAGAATAAGACTTGATTGAATTAATAGATAAGATCAATTAGTCAAATTATAATTAAATCAACATTGTAAAGGGTATTTGAAATGTCAAAGCCTCAAATCAAAGCATCTATAACAAAATAATTAGACATTATTGATTAATCTAAACGGCATGATTATTAAGATAAAATTAAACAATRGAAGATTCCAAAAATGAATTAATGCTTATTATCATTATCTTTGACATACAAAATCAAATATAAAACATATAACAAATATTAGATTGATTCTTTAAGCTACTTTAAATTTGACATTTTAAAAAGTTATAGWTGTTTTGATACTATTTCTTGTCTTTATTTTTTTTTTTTTAACTATCCCGCGGCAACTAAGGCCATTGGGAAGGGGGTAGTACTGTAGGTTCTTATGGAACTGTAGGTTGGTTTTACACGTGGGTGAGAGTTTTGGCAGAATTTCTATTGAGGCACCTGTAGGTTTTTGCCATACCCCGGAGTAGGGGAWGGCGGCACTTGTTCTCCGGACACCGTGACTTGCCTGGAGAAAAATGCCGCCCGATGGTCGAGGATCGAACCCGGTCCAGCTGAGTTACAGCCGACGCGGTAGACCACTCRGCCACCTCGTCSCCCATTATTGTCTTTATTATACACAAGTTATATTGGCAACACACAATTGAGAAAAAATACCTACATAATATTTACAATACATATTTAGAGATAGGTTATTAACACACAAAGCAAAAAATTAGCCTGCAATAAAATGTCCAACTGCTGAATGACACAATACCTAATCCAAACTAAATTTCAAATATAACAATTTTTTTTTTGATTATAACCTATTTATTTACCAAAAAAAATTACTTATTTCATAAAAAGAATAAACGAAGAAAATTAAATACAAATTCTAACTATATACC